TAAGCTGTTTGTAAACAAAAAAAACAAATCAAATCCTAAGATCTAGAAGCAAACCTCAGTTGTTCTGTTTTCTATCTGATACAAAGAAAATAATTTCTTTTTTTGTTCGTTCAGATACAGGTAGAGGGATTGCAATAGTTGCTGTAGTCATTTTGGTGACGGTATCAATGAGCCTGGTGCCATGTTTTGCCGAAAAATTTAAAAAGGTAAGGTTGCTTTGCATTTTTTCCTCTTTTAATTTAAAAGTTAACATTAAAAGCCTATTAGCGTCTAAAAACAGCTAATTATTGGATGGTAAAGGGATGCAGAGCAGTATTTCTATTGATTAAGTTCCTGAAGCTCCACTAAGCAAAGTTTTTGCTTCTCCCATCAGCTCTGGGAATCCAAAGGCTCTAATAAAAAGAAGATCTTGAAAACAGAAGAAGAACTGGAGTGTGAAACAAGCATCATTCAGGCGTAAATATACAAACACTGTATCAGTGTATTTTCACAGCACAAATAGCTTTTTAAGCTTTATTTCTTAAACATGCTGTTCACTCTTTATCATTTTGCAGGACTGAACTGGATGCAGTAACCAGTATGGAAAAAGGCTCCTCGTCTCCCGGCACAGAGAAACCAAATAAGTGTGAATTCTACATAAGTAGAGATGAAGACGAGCTGTCCTCCTCCCTGGGGACTTAGGGTTGAAGGAGATTTTAGGCTTTTGATAGCAGCTTTAGGGAAACGTCAAGAGCTTTGGTTGATTTGGTTCAGAGCTCAGGATTGATGCAGCAGCTGGATGAGGTCTGATTGATCCATCTCTACAAAAACAGGACAGAGGAAAGAAAAAATAAAACTTTAATCAATGAGTCAAACAGACACTGATCCTGCAAGGTTACAGCACCTCATTTGTCTGCTCCAACACGCCTGATTCTAGTGAGTCAGCATTAACATTCAAGAAGAAGAATCCTCCTTCTAAGTGTGATCCACCTGCTGTAATATAAAAGCCCTGCAGTGGACGGTGAGGGGATCTAAAACGGTCCTTTGAGGATTCCTGATTTCTGTCCAGGATTGCTTAGAGAGATACTGCAGGAGAACAGTGGTGAACATTGAGAATAAACTTCTCGAACCCTCTAAAACATTTTGACCTGCTGTCTTCTGACAAACACTATCAGAACCAGCAACGTTTTCTACATCAGACTGTTAAAAATTTAAACTGGTATTAATATTACGCCTGTTTTATTATTGCACTTAATATGTATCTATTTTCTTTTTTTTTTTTTTGATAAACCTTTTAAGCCAATTGTAATGAAAAGCTTTTATTTGTTCCAAAATAAAAGGAAAATAAATTAATTTGATACAAATTTTAATCAAATAATCTCTTTTTTTTTAACAGCTTGACCCCCAAAATATCAATGTGACAGGCTGGTGACCCTTAAAATGACTTTTTATTCATGTTTACAGTACGTCTTTGAATCTTAGTCATGTACTAAATGCATACAATATTTGTATTACAGGGTTTCTATAAAATCATTCCTCTCTCTACTCTACTCTGCACCTCTCTGTTCCACATTCTTCTTTTTGGTCACTTACTTGCTCTCTGCCTGCAATAATTTTACCAAAAAGATTCCATGAATACTTAGGTGATTAGAGATGAATCATCCGATAGTTTTGCCCGGTACAGCATTTTTTAATCTATCATTATCATTATTACCGATAAGTGCATGTGTTGGTCAAATTATTAGAACATTCTGCAGAAGCAGATCTATTTTTACTCCATCCTTTAGATTTTAATTCTTAATTTTAACTTATTAATAAAGGTTGGTTTGTCATTGAATTGATACTTGTGTAACATTTGTTATCAAGTTGTCCTTTTTATCATGTAATCAGAGATGGCAAAAGTACTCACTTTCCTTACTTGAGTATAAGTACAGAAACTTGTGTTAAAAAATACTCTGGTAAAAGTTGAAGTACTGATTAAACTTCTTTACTCAAGTAAAAGTAACAAAGTATAGGCTTGTAAATTTACTTAAAGTATAAAAGTAAAAGTAGAAACCACTTTTTTCATGCCGTTGCCTACATTTTAAATGGATGTCTGCCAATAGGACTAGATCTCCGTTGTGTTCATTTTCAATCATCTCGTCGTCCATGCTACTATGCTAACGCCACCGCCACCAAGCTGCAATGATTTGCTGCGAATGAATACCGCCGAATCTGTCGATTCATCTTGTAGTGGTGCGTCAAATGCAACGTAGATTCCCATCCAACTAGATTGAATTTTGAATTTGGTAACTCCATTGAAATGATTCAAAACTAAAGTAACGAGCCAATTTTTTAAAATGTAAGGAGTAGAAAGTACAGATATTTGTGTAAAAATATAAGGAGTAGAAGTAAAAAGTCGCCATAAAAATAAGTAGTAAAGTAAAGTAAAAATATCAGAAAAGTCTACTTGAGTACAGTAACGAAGTATTTGTACTTTGTTACTTCCCATCTCTGCATGTAAGTGTTTGAGAAAACAAGTCGGCCTGAAGAATCGGTCTCCCAAAATATTGGCAGAACAAATCATGTCTGACTAATGATAGATACAGTAATTGGTTTTGGGATTGTCCCTAAAAAAACTGCCTTCCATCTCTGTTGGCGACCAACAGACATTTAAATTATTCTGGTTATCTAGGTTTTTGTGACCTTTTTAGTTTGTTTATTCCTACCTGATAACATCACTGGTCCCGTCTATTGCAGTGGCCATCAATGACTTCCTGCCGGTCTCATTCACCCAATGCTTGTAGTCTTCTTTATTAGAACACATATTCAAGCAGGCTATATTTAATTCTAGTATTCTTTATTATCAAATTCAATTTTTTTTTTAACAAATAATATTTTAAAATATTATTTGATCCTAATATTAGACCAATCAGTAGCCTTCCTCTGTCTGCCATGATACTTTATTCTCTTCTCTTTCTCCCCATCCTCAATACTGAGTCACACGTATTTTGTGTAAAGAGTTGTTTGAAAATACAGCAGTCAAAGTAAAAACACAGATCCTACATTTTATTTCAAAGGTTATTCCTGTTGGATATCATTTTGTGAGTGAACTGCATCTGATCACTGCTTTCTACAGCCGCTCTGTAGTGGTTTATCTGAGTAAGGACATGTTAATCTCGTCTTACTCCCAGGTTAAATAATCTCACTTTTTCATTTTTGATTCACTGTATAATTATAACAAATATTACCATCTAAACAAGTCCCTCCATTTGTACTTGTCTTCTCTATTATAAGTACTTATCTCCAGGGTAGACTACTACTGAAAAACTTTCGTTCCTTTGAACCTGTTTTCTTTATCCTTAAAATGTAAAGGAGTGGTGAGGTGCAAATCTAGCGATGTATTTCTCACATTGATCATTTTACCTACAAAAAGCAAAACGAAAGTCACAAGTCTGATGATGTGTAAAACAGGTTGGATCAGATTTTTTAGTTGAACACACCTTGGAACTCGCCTGTTACGGTAGTTATTTGATCATAATGGTTCAAGAGAGGCAGTTTGTGTTTTTGCTGCTCCTGACTTTTCTATTTAGACTTTCTACAGCAGGTGAGTGAAAATTCTAGCAGGTTTTCATTCTTATGTCAGGTTGACGGGACTCATTGGGTTGACTTTAACTTGTCCACTGGACATCTGAGGAAGGATCAATGTGTGGGAACATATTTAGCAGCTAGCCTGCTGCCTGGTTAGATGATAGTAGGTATTTCACTGATTAAACACAAACAGTCATGTCATGACTATTTGTGGAACAATAACATGTTGGTTCTACATCCTTAAACATCTCTGTAATCTCTGCTGCCTTTCTGACAATTGGTTTCATGACCTGATTGATCAAACAGGTTTCAGTTTGTCATATATGATGTGTTATGATGAGTTTGGTGAAAAACTTGCCACGGCTTGCCAAAATGTTAATGTTACATTAACTTGTTTTATAACCTTTTCTCAATCATTTCTCTAGTATCTTATCAGCCTTTGCTCAGAAAAAATACCTTGACTTATAAATGAAACCAAGGCCGACAGCAGCTCACAGAACCTGTTAGTGTAGATTCCAGAACTATCAGTGGTTTCAACATCCAACACTTCCTCTTGTTTTCTTATTTGTGTTTAAAATCATTCTTTGTCACTTTACATTAAATCAAAATGTCAAACTAAATTTTAAATGGTTTTTAACTAGATATTTTAACCCTGAACAGCTGTTTGGTCCATTTCATGTTTTAAAGATGGATCAGTGATGGAAGCATTTTCATCAATGTTTCAAATTCATGTACAGTATGGGCTGAGCTGAGCATAAGCTGAACATGTTTTAGTCTCCTGACAGGTAAAGGTTTGAAAGAATTATCATCATTTTAATTTTAATAAAATGTTTCTTCTCACTAGATGTAATGATTATACTTGTGAGAAAAAAAGAGTCCTGGTTCAAAACTAAAGGAGAACCTGTTAGATGGAGTTAAAGATTAGGGTAATAGTTAAGAGGCTCGGCCTTCAAATTTCAAAATGTAAGATCTCATCCCCATAGAAGAAATCCCAGAAGAAAAATCCAAGAAGCTAATCAGAGGAAGGGTCTTCCTGCTGTTTATCCTGTAAAGATTTTTATCTGTTTACAACTGAAATCATATAGATAATGTTGACTTTCTTTTTATTTAAAAAGTTACTTGTGACTTGATCTCTATGACAAAGACAAACAAAAAAGGAAGTATTATTTAAAGTGATGTCTTTGCTTACTCTGCAGACACTGAGGTGACATGTGTTTTGGACCAGACATGCATTTTACCCTGCACATTCCAGTACACTTCTGATCTGGTGCTCCACTGGATAGATGTATCAGGAAACCGCAATGTTCACTCCTACTATCGCGACAAAGACCAGCTGGAACATCAGCACCAGCACTTTAAAGGCAGGACCTCACTGTCTAAAGAGCTGTCCAGGGGTAATGCCTCACTAGAACTGACAAGAGTGAGAGCAGAAGATAAGGGAAGATACAAGTGCTACACCAGCACCATTGATGGAAACCAGGAATCATTTGTTAACCTAAAAATTGAAGGTTTGATGTTTGAATTCAACAATTGATTTAAACATGTTCAATCAAAAATCATTTTGTAAAGTAAATAATTTGTAATTGATGTTTTTTTCCTTACTAATCAGACAAGTTACCTTTATTCTAGATGGAAAATGCTATCAGATCCAGCTTTTGTATACTTTTGAAGGTGCTGACCATTATCCAGTGGGACGTGTGGCCTTGTTTTAAAAACATTATGGGACTCATCGTCTAGAATGATTGTACATCCCAATGCCTGGACCCCACAAGAGCAATTCCTGTTTTTGGGTCAGGCTTCACGTTTAGGACTACAGTAGTAGCCGTTCAAAATTACCCTACTTTCCTTGATGGGCCCTTGGCTGTCCCTCACAATTCCTTTTTAAACATCACTTTTTGTACTAAAATATTCTTTCTGTCATGATCTGTGGACATTAAGATCTAAAGATAAGCATCAACTCCTGCTCAGACACTGTAATTCAGTGAAAGGTTGGAGTCAGAGTAAAACATATGCAAGAGGGGGTCACTTGGATAGCTGGAAGTTGTAGGGGATTTAGCCGGGAGTTTGAGGGAAGTGGGCTGCCATTCAGCTGGCGTTTGACTGGGAAGGGCCATTTTGAATGGCTGCTACTGTAAGCTGTGAATTGAGTTCAGGCTGTGGTTAAGGTTAGGAATGAACCCGCAATGTTTAGGTTTAGGGTTAGGGTCACGGTTAGGCTGTAGAAATGAATGGAAAGAGGGGATGGATTGGACAATTCCATTACTTTACCTACTCCAGAAAATATTTCTATACTAGCGTACCCAATGGAGAAGACGGGTCAATCTAGGTAAAGGCATAAGTATGCCAGCAGTCTTCATTAGTGCTGGTAGGAAGGAAGGAAGTAGTGAAAGAAAGCAGGATGCTTCCTATCCATGATTTCATTAACATAGGGACCTCCTAGCATTGCTATCGCTGATTAAGATCCATAAGAAATCCCACAGTCCTTTCCATAACAAGACATATAGGCATATACCACATCAGGGATACAAAATGGATAACATGTTCACATGTACTTTGTGCAACATATGGTAATGTACACACCTTCGTATGTTTGGGTTTTATAAAAGGGAGTTTTGTTGTATTGGATGGCTATAGTCCTAATTTGACGAGCATGATCCATGTGTGTTTCCATCCCTTAATGATGTCAGAAAGGGCGAAGGCTAACCGAATTTAGCACAGCAGACCAGAGTTCCTTTCCTACCCACATTATTGTCCTTACTGTCCTGTGGACCCTGCAGATGGTGAAGGGACAGAAGCTAGGAGCCACAGTCTGCCCAATTCACAATTAGCTGCTGTTTAGTAACACTAAGTAAATGTTCCAAAATCTAAGAATCACAGTGATGACCTTGCTTCTTATAAAATTTTAGAAAAAAGTTTTAATAGATAAAAGAGGAAATAGAACACAATATAACGCAAAATAGGACATCAATCTTTTAATCCAGTTTTTCTCCAGAGGTGGGTTCACAGATTTCTGATCTGTTATCTCAAAGACCATTGAAATAAGTTAAATAACATAGCTACAGTAGTGACTAGCATTATCCCACATATCAAAATTTAACTAGTAAAGGAAAATATTTTGCAAACCATTCATATACTAACTTTCTACTGTTTAATCTCTTTTCACTTTTAACAGATAATTCAGAGTCTGCAGCAACTCAACTCCCCCATACCAGGATAACTGTTCCTCCCAGTGATGGTGAGCAACACCTTTTATGACAGCAGGCCGATTAGCATCATATCATATGTGATGGGAACGTACACTATTTTCATAATAATTATTATGAATTCACAATGATTTAAAAAACCTACAGTGTGGACTGATTTTTAGACAGTTGGAATAAACAACCGGCCTGCATGGAGGTTAAAGATGATATTAAAATAATCTAGTTTGATAAGAACCTTTGTGGTTTCCCCTCCTTTTGGAGGATGTCAATGACTGTCGTTTGGACATCTGTCCTATCAGAAGTTTCCCCCATGGTTGTGCAGAAAATAATACAGCCATCACATAAAATTGATACAATAGAAAAAAGATCTTATGTCATAATATTATTTAATGAGGCATACTGTACATATTGTGGTTTTCATTATCTATAAGCTATAGTCATACAAAACACAAGAAATAAAAGTTTGAAATATTTCACTTTATGTTTGACTATTTTCATTGAAGGTTGAGTTTCTCTCTCTAAGAGATTGATAATAACTTTTTGAAAATAATCTTTTTGTAAAAAATATTTAAATGTCTCTGTGTTACTTTGCTTACAGGGAAAAGTACACCATCTGCAAGATTCACAGAAGAAAATTTGCCCAGGAATAGATTTGCGTTGGTTGTTTGTTTTTTGTTGGTTCTGGCATTTGTTGTCATGCTCTGCTGTAAAAGAGGTAAACAAACCATAACTTTATCATTTTTAAATTTCTTATGTAAATTTTCTGTTATTAAATTAATCCAAAGACTCATTCACAGTCAAGCTTCAGCTGTCAAGTTTCAGAAAATGAAAAGAGAGAGACTTTAGTGCCAGGATCTGAAAAGTGTGACTTTTTTAACGTTGATTTATACCGAAGTATAACATCAAAGTCATTCCCTCCATAGCAGCTGGTCTAACTGCAATGTGGCCTCTTGATGCCAGCCTTGATTAACCAGAACTTAGAAATGAACCACAATTTGACAACAGTGGCACCTTGGCAACAGAGACACAGAGAAAATATAAAAGAAAATAACATGTTTGATTGTGAAAATTAATATTGGACATTGGATCCTGCAATAGCCCCTGTACGGAAAACATACACAGCAAGAATTTAAATTTAAGTAGGCAAATTTGAAGCAAGTGTATCTTTCCGTGATTTAAGGAGGTAAGCCAATTTGCAGATAGATTATGATTTATGTTCAAAATAAGAAATAAAACAATCTGTATTATACTATTTTAAATGCATTTTATTTAATTATTTAATTCTAAAAGCAGAAATGCTCTTTCCTTGGCAGATCAGCTTATGTACCTGGTCAAATTAAGAGAAAATGCAGTTATATAAAAAATTGGTTTTCAATTGGTTTTCACAGTGTAACACTAAATCAATTCCTTATGATGATAGGCAACAAGAAAAGAGACTTTTGGACCAATTCCCCATTTTGCCAGAATAATTTACTTTAACATTATTTTGAAATAACAAGCAGCTTTAACCATCCTAAGAAATGATCACAATTTTTGTCTGCTAGATAACCCTGCGGTAAATGTTGTCTAAACCCCCAACTGGCTCTGTGGGATTTAAAAACATGGGTCCTTGAGATCCTTCTTCCTGCAACCAGCTTTTCAGCAGGCAGCAGTCTCAATCATTGACACATTACAGCTGTGTCCGACGTTCCCCGTAAACTCACAGCAGACACTCATGTTGCTTCTTCAGGTCACCCACAGAGACCCTTGGTTAATGGACTGGACATTTGGCCAAGACATTTCCTAGTTTAGGAACACAATCCAACACAATCCAGATCTAGTATGTCATTAGCCTACAAATAAATGTTTGAGAAATGTGAGCATGGAGCACACCTGCTTACAGATGTGCAGCTTACAGCAACAGTTTCCTCGTTGCTACCAGAGCCTCTCTCCGATCCTCCCTCATTCTCGTTTCTGACTCTCCAGGACGTTTCCTTTATTAGGTGATTTTCCCATTATTTCTAAACTCTAAACATTTCTGAGACATTAACGTCTTCTACATTCTAAGACTAGCTAAGTTCAAACCAGTTCGTTATTCAATATTTTATTTGTTTTGGTTTTTCTTCTTAGCTTGTACTTGCGTTTCTGTGGGGCTAAAGAAAATAAAATGGGAGGAACAGTAAAGTAAATCTATAAAGCTGATCCTTCACAGCCTAGAAGTGAGAGAGCAGATGGGAGGTTTTATCTTTCCTAATTTAGATCTTCTCCTAAATGGTGTAATCGTGTGCATATTTATGTCCAAAAGAAAATTACATTTCATCCCCCATTTCAGAAAGTGACGCTGTCACAGTGGCAGTGGAGGTTTGACAGGACCCAAATGGGGACAAAAACTTGAGGTGGTTACTTGAATGTTTTAATGACAAAAGTTTAAAAGAAGTAAAAATCCACAAAAATCCAAAAATGCTCAAAACCAAAAAATACTCACAACACAAAGGGGATAAAGTAATGCGATAAACCAGTGAAGCATGACTGAACAGGAGGAGATTATACTGTATGGGAGAGAGAAACAAAGACCAGGCTAATTAGCAGATTGGGAGCAGGTGTGAACAGAGGCAAGGCGGGAGCTAGGGAAAAAGAGACTGACACAAAAGGGCAAACAAGAAATATCCAAGAAGTCAAATACAGTCAAAAATGCCTAGAACACAAGAATGAAAAATAAGGGCAATGAAAACTCAGAGATAAAACTTGAACAAAACCAAAACTATGAAAGACACTTGAAGCCGTTATTTCTTGTTATTTTGATAATCGTGTGTTACGGTAAAATGAAAACACAAAAATCAGTTTTTTGGACTGAGTCTTCTGAGTTAAGGTTTGGAGCTACTTTGGGATGCGTAGTGTCAAGGTTTGGTTGGAGAGCGGTAAACATTTAGCCATAGTTCACAAAACAGTGGTGGATAAACTCAGCCAGGCTTGTTCTTTTTTTTTTTTTCTAACAATTTTCTTCTTCTTTTTTGCAGGAAAAAGGTCCAGTAAGATCAGTGTGTAAAGAACCAGACACCAAAAATAGGCTTCTGTTTGTCTGTACCCTACTGCAACACTCAGACTCGTTCCCATAGCAGGGAAATCTACTACGAACAAGCCAAAAACCTATAGACTATCATGGTTGTTAGGATTGGAGTCCAACCAGATGGATGTAAGAATCCTAACACACTGAAAAAAAAAAACTGCTGAAGAACGCTGGCAGCTGAAAGTCACAGAGAGCTTCATAACAATTCTCTGCTGATGAACCTACAAGCTTCAACAAAGAAACATGGTTTTCCCTTTATGAAATGTGTTATACTGTATTTTCTATGAATTATTAAGCTTTAAAGAAGCAAATCTGTTATGAAAATTGATATAGAAGCTAAAAAACTAGCTCTAAGTAACGACTCTCTATGCACTTTATTTGCAGTCTCCGGTTTATGAAGCATTAATGTCATTTTACAGTTTTCCTCGAACGAAAAACTTGTAGCCAGGTGAAAAAAGACCCCACTATCAGTAAAAAAAATTGTATTTTAAAAAGAAAGTCAGTTTCAAATGTAAGGGACAAAAAAAAAAACTACTTTTGGTATCATTCAGTATTGTTCTGAAGCTCAACTTAAAGGGCTAAGTAAATTTTCCCTGATGGGGTTGTGTGAAATAGTTATTAACATAACCAGAGGAGGGTAGAGTACCCAAAAATTGTACTCAAGTAAGAGTAGCACTACTTCAACATTTTTTACTTAAGTAAAAGTAAAAAGTAATCATCCAAGAAATTACTGAGGTAAAAGTAAAACTGTACTTGGTAAAAAGTATTACTTGAGTACTGAGTAACTGTAGTACACCAAAATCTGATTAAATATTTAGAACTGATGCAAACAGACAGACTTTCTGTTCAAGTTCTGGTACTTTAAGGAATCAAATGCATAAAGAATATGGAAGAAATTATAGGACAGGGTAAAGAACTTCCACTGCACTGCAAAAAAAAAAAAAAGTGCAATTTGCCAAGAAATGAAGCGGGAAGTGAGACACTTTGCCAATGGAACAAGACAAATTACATTTAAAATAAGAAAAAGCAACTGCAATAAAGCGCATGTTATCTAATCATTTTATTTTTAAGAGTATAAAAAATCATTCCATTGGCAAATCATCCCATTTACTTACTAATGTTAAATGTATATACACTTGTTTTAAGAAATGTTTACGCATTTATAGATCATATTGCAGTGTGATTATATTTATTGTTTACTGTATGTTTACCTGATCTTGAAATAATTCAAATTACTCACAGAGGACAGAGGAGTCAGAGAGTTTACTCAAGTACTTAACAGGAATATTACTCTAAAAGTAATTAGTACAGAAAAGTAAAACTACTCCTAAAAGTGTGGTAGTAGCCAATCAAAACTTTCCCCACTTTCCTTGAAGGGGCCCTTGGCTGGTCCTTGGTTGGTCCCCTAAGATTCCTTTTTTAAACATCAATCTTTGTACTAAAATATTCTTTCTGTCATGATTTGTGGGCATTAAGATCTAAAAATAAGCATCATGTCCTGATCTGACCCTGTAATTCAGTGAAAGGGTGGAGTAAGAGGTAAAAAATATGCACGCCCAGGAGAAAGAGGGCTTCACTACAGTGGCTGGGGTTTGGCTGCCAGTTGGCGTCTGACTGGGAAGGACCATTTTGAATGGCTGCTACTGTAATACATTTTATTAAAGTTACTTAAGTAAATGTAACTGATTAAATATAGCTAGTTACTATCCACCTCTGAACAGAACTCTCTTTATCGCACTGTCTTAGAATTTCTTTTAGATTAAAAACACAGATTATCATTATTTTCATTTTTTTATTTTATAACCTTAAAATAATCTTGTTGGTTTGTAGGATCTTCTATGACTATGTATACATCTGAAATAGGATTAAGAGTTTCAAATGTTATCACTGTTTGGTCTTATGATTATAAAGATAAAAGATAATTTAACACGGTAAATTAGATTTGTTCAGTCTGAAGCCTCGGCATAAATCCAACTGGAAAACTACCTGCCTGAAGAATGCCTCATCATGCCCTCTTAGCTGTCATCATTCAGGACTCTGCATTTAGGTTCAGATTGACAGACCCGTCTTCTCTGTTGCTTCTCCACCTTCATCTCACTGGACTGTTCATGGTTCCCCTGACCTGCAGCCTCTATTACTACACCAGTGTTTTACTCTTCATTAAGAAAGATCTACCCGCTAACATGTTCCCCTGGGTTCAGAGCTGCAAACACCATGTTTTCATGTTGATCTTGAATTCAGTCCCTTCTCATTTTCTTAATACTGACACTTTACCTGTTTAAATCAAGACTTAAAACTCATCTGTTCAAGACGGCATACCTCCATTGTATTTAATATTATGTATTTCTTGATTATATTTTTTGTTTTCTGGGGAGTTGTGAAAACTGTTTTGAATAAAATTTATTTTATTTTATATTATGTTCAATATTTTTTGCAGCATTTCTCTGCATGAGTCTCTCTATATTGAAAAGTTCTACGCTCTTGTTGTGCCATATACCATGATCATACTTTTTGGTCATTGGGAACCAGCTGTGGAATCTCTGCAGCCCTCCCTTTTCAGCCAAGGCCTACACAGGACCTCCCACAGAGGTGTGACTTTGCCAGCCCCTGCTCCCTGTGAGGACAGAATTCTCAAGATTCTCTCTCTTTGCCTGTTGCGCTCTGTGCTCCTCTCCCTTGCCCATGAAGCTTCGGCCCCGGACCTCCACTGTGGTGGAGAACAAAGGCCCAGGGGAACCAGATCTCCAGAACCATCAAGGATGGGTCATTGGGGTAACCTTTCAGAACCAAATTACTGCAAGACAGACCTTTTGCAACACATTTCTCTTGAGTTTAAGAACTTATAGAGCCAAACCGGAGAGAATGTCTACCCTGTCTTGATGAACGACTGAGAAAAAGAGGACCTCTGCTGTGTGCCACTGAGACAAAGAAACCCCTGGTCACTAAGGATTTAAACACTGATGTGAAATGAAATGAAATGAGATTTGAAATGAGATTTATTTGAACATGATACAAATATAAAAAAAAATAAAATAGTGCACAGTAACAAGAAGTGCATAAAAAAGAAGAAAAAAAAATACAGATATTTGTTTCCATTAACATATCATGCTCAAAACATTAGTAACATTAGTGTTCATGTGTTCCTCAGATGCTCATTACATTTCCATTAGCAAGTATGACCAAGAGTCATTTAGTGGAATCCTGATGTCTATTCGCTGCTAGCTATTTCAAGGAGGGTAAAGAATCAATTAACTAAAGGTTTTTGGTTCCTGATTAAGCAAATCATTCAAAACATTATTTGGCCAAATAATGTTTTATTCACCTCATGGATTTGCATTGTAAATTGGTCTGAAAATATTCCAATTTCTTTAAAATTAGTGAAAAGCCAATTTGAACATTTACCCAATTATTCCAGATAAACTTTGGTTTTAAACACAAAAATCCATCTTAAACTGTAATAAGGTTTTCAACCATGCTTCCCTTCCTCTTTGTACATAGTAGTTTAGTTTAGTTTAGTTTCACTAGTTTTAGTTAAGAGTTTTAAACTGAAATTTGTTTGACTTGGAGCTGATTGATTTTTGTTAATAAAATCTTATATTTTGAACAGAAGTTGTGTTGAATTTATACAATGTATGTGTAGAACTGTTTGACCATGATTAGTGCTTGAATCACTCTTTCATCTATTGTTCTAACACACAGTTAGTAGGGCGTGTGTCATAAGCAGTATATAACAGCTGAAATAATATCTGATTAAATAAAATATTTTACCACCCCTACCAAGGAGTGCAATAAACATCTTAAAGTATCAGAAATATAAATTACTAGCTGGCTGGGCAGACAACACTCTGCATTTCAGATGCACAGTATATATACCCTGTGCGCACATCAAATAGCGGCTTCAGCGGTGTGAAGCTGACACCCCAATGATGTGAAAAATATCACCAAATAGAATTAATTGTTGGTGCTCCATTAGTGCAGGTTTGTGCATTATCATAACCAAAATTAAGGATAATTTGTTCTCCTTTTGTTTCATCGACATTGATTTCTTTCTTATTTTTGTCGTCAAAATTTCTCTAGCATGGAACAATATTCTTGTTATTGTCCTTCCCATCTGATTGCATCGAATCCAGACCCCTTTTTTGAGTAAGTATGTAGTGACAGTGGAAGTTAACCTACAGCATAACCAGGCTCAGTGTAAACCCCATAAGCTGGGGGTTAAAGGCAGAGCAGTCCTTTTAAACATTCTGCATGTTTCCAGGTTCGATCTGTTATTTCAAATGTTTTCCTGCAGTTGAACAGCCTTATTTAGCCAATCTTTCTTGTATTTTTTTTTTATAAGCAAACTCCTTTTGGAAGAAAACATACTTTGAGCCTTTTTAAGATAAAGTAGTCTGCGAATATAAATTATTTTAAAAAAATGTTAATAAGATATTGATCAACACTGTATCATAGCAACAATAATCATAATAGCATTAGAGAATTTCATTTGACGGCTCCAAACAGAGTTTAATATTTAGGTTGTGCATTTAGATTGTTTTTTTTGTCAAAGCCTTTTGGAGTTTCAAATGGCCGAAATAATATATATAATCTTCATTAAGCTGTTTCTTTGTTTAAGGACACTAGGGAGCAATTTAACCAGCTGGTGCCCCTAAGATATATATACTTTTTGGTTATAACAGGGAGGCATTAATGTGAATGTTTAAGACTTCCAGAAGCCACCTTGTTGATACGGAACTTATTTTAATAATCTGTTTCCTGATCTGACCATTTCGGCATGCAAGTGTGAGCGAAGGTACTGCCTGTCAGCCTTTAGCTCACTGGTTCTTCATGGAATGTAGATCTACAGCCTTTACCACATATTTGGTTTAGTCACTGTTACACTCCCATTATTCACCTCTAACTTGAGACCAGTAGACAGCTGATCAGGAAAACAACATGGCCAAGATCATTTACTTTGGAACTTTGCTCTTTCTGACTTTTCTTCTGTCTGTTTCTGGGGGTGAGTTAAACATGTTAACCTTATCTGAACCTTCTTTCTCAAAGGTGATTTTAAAGAACATTTGTTGTGTTTTCTTCTGTTGTTTAATCTGAGGACTAAACAAAGACCAGTAAACACAATAACTAAGGAGAAGGTTTATTTAAACTGAAAGAATACATTATAAAATAATGTTATTAAAGAAGATGGATTTATGTTTAAGTGCTTAAAATCAGTTTTCCAAACTCTATACATTCACATGGAAAAGCTTTTTTATAAAAAAATTATTTTTTTAAAGACATAGAATAACTAAAAAAAAACAAAAACACAATTTTAAACGATTCTATAATTGATATCCAAGAGGCGACCTTTAATTCAGCTGCTGGTATTTAGGATAAAACAGATATTTTGCCCCACAGCAGCTTTTTCTGATTAACAACGTTCAGTGAAACTATGACACACATGCTTAGATATTATGTAGGCTGTGTCCGAACATCCGCCCTAAACCCTGGATCCCTCCGTCACTATGGAGTGGGGACTTTTTACTTGCCAAGCAATCTGGTATATCTGCCCATCTAGTGACCATGGTTGATCAAACCTTTTCAAGGTGGGTTGTGGGAAATTTTGAGTCCACTGCATTTTCATCCACTTGACATTCGGACACTCATCTAAAACGTTGTAACCACTATATAGTGCCCTATATAGTGATTAGGGTGGACATTCAGATACAGCAGTGTTAAAAAACATACAGCATTAAGACAGAAAAAAGAAAGGAAAAAAGTTTTTTTTTTTCATATTTATGTTTTTTTTTTCTTTTTTTTTAATAAATCTTCTGTGTTTTGGCTTCCTATTTGTTTAATAAATATTGATACTGGAAAGGCAGACGTGAAGTTTTGTACATCTGAAGTTGGTTCCAAATTGGGGACACCAGGAATTTCAAAAAAAAAAACCTTAAACTGAGAGAGAGAGACAGAGAGAAAGACCTTTGGGAGCCATTTATTTTTAGTCAGCAGCTCCAAAAGTATTTTCTGTTCTTGTAAATTATATAACTTACAGGAACCTGGAGGGAAGCAGCGAAAGTGTGACATTCCAACAGATATTGGAATCAGTGCTTCAATGTCAGACAAACCCATTTGCGCAGGGATGGATAAAATCTTTTGATAAACCAATGGTTAGTGAGTCAGGCATGTCTGACTCACTAACCATTTCCCTTGTCCTTTGACCACAGAGCAGCCGACTTGCTTCCAACCCCAATGAATCATGGGATACAGTAGTCCATGAAGGATACACCTGACCCATCCTTCAAAGCAAGGGAATAGAAGGCTGCATTTCTCAGCCACATAGGAAGGAGTCTTCAGATTTGAACAGGCGACGGCCATGTAATCTGACAACAAATCTGTTTTTCGGAAGACGCAGCCTCAAAGCCTCTTTAGGACAGACGGCTCCGTTCTCTGAAATTTTCTGCACTTTTAAAGATGGGAGACATTTTTTGTTTTTTAGAGTTAGTGATAGCGTTAATAACATGGAATACTTTTGATTTTAATTGTATATGTATAAA